ATCTCCTTTGGATTGAATGCCTGATGTTGATAATACATCAGAAATCGGAGTAGTTTTACTTGTAGTTGAGCAATGTAACAGTATTTCTACCTTAGCACAGGTTTTCAGCACCACTGTTCGCCACCGTATTGATTTCTGCCATTTAAAGCCTGTTTCTATCTATTCTGGATCAAACCTGCTGCCGACTGCAGAGGCTCTTTGGACTCTCTATATACTTTAAGATCAGTGATATAGCACAGCCTGGATGTTACCCAAAGGCCTTTATAGCTGGCCTATGGAACTTTTACTCAAAGGTAGTCAATGTGGCCACAAGTAAGAGGATAATGGTAAATCTTAAAACATAAGCCCGAGTCAAAGCCAGCCAAGTGACTCATAAATGCCAGTTACACAGAGATTTCTGTGCAAAGTTTGCTAACATCAGCCCGGTTAAGTTAGACACACTGTGCATATCCACAAAGGCTGCAGCAACAAACCCCCTCCTGAAACGAGCAGCCTTTTGTTTCTTATGGATTCAGCTTTTCATTTGCAAAGAAGAAAGCCCTGGCATTACCTCTTTCAAAAGTTATGGTCTGGCTTTAAAGCACAATTCAGCTGACTTGCCAAATGTCTCTGAGCAAATGGTTTATTGACAAGCACATAACAGTTCATTGACTTAACAAATTATCTCTAACCCTCTTACTCTTAACGACAGTCCAAATCGATAAAAATGTCTCTTCTGCAAATGCTACAGTGTCCATATGCGCTTTATAGTCGGCGTCACACGAATTACAACGCATCCCTGCTATCTCTCGTCTTCCTCCTCACAAGCAGGCCGGCAGAGGCAAACACTTTGCCCTGCTTCTTTACGACGCCGACAATAACAGCAGACATCATGGGAGCCACGGCGGCTCAGTGGGTGATAATGTGCTGCCTCGCAGCAGGAAGCTCGCATGAGGCATAAAACTGTATAGTTAATAAGTTTGAAACCATTATGTTCCAATAAATAGTAAAACACATCAGAATATACGCCATTAGATTGTTTTCTCACCAGACCAGTTAAAGTGTGTCTCACCTGGAAAATGTTGGAGGTCTCTCTGTGAACAACAAGTAAAATACAACATGATATAGTTATTAACTCATCCCAGAGACACGGTGCTTTTACTAAACACTACTACGTACAAATAAACGACATAGACAGAGATCTCCCAGTCGGGTCAACATTGCAGCTTCATGCAAATGGCGGCAACACAAAGCTGTATTATGATGCTGACAAACAAATGAAGTGCCAGCTCCACTTGCACATGTCCAGCGAAGCGAGTGATCTCAGTGGTGAGGTGGAAGGCTGCCACCTCATTAATGACAGCATCAGACAAAACGCAGTTTGATGCCCACTGAGTCGCTCATTTGCTGGAGTTTGAGCAGAATTAATGGTTGAGACAAGAGTTTATTCCCCTTTGTGGGAATCGGACCGGACAGCTAAGTAAACACTTCAGTGGGATTCTTGCAGTTTTTTTTCGTTGTCTGATGAAACATTTAATGACTTGTGCGGTAGAATCTCTGTGCATGATCTGCTTTAGTCAGAGCAGCTCCATAGTGTCTGCTGGAGTCTCATCAGTCACCTACACACACGCAGACAGGGAAAAAAAATATAATAGCATTGCATAATGTCTTCAAAATCCGGCACGACTTCTGAAATAAATTAAAATTTATCAAGATGACAGCGAATCGTCAGACGGAGAGGCAATGCAGATGAACACTGACAGCATTTTAATGACAACTAGCTGCTCGATGCTGTTTGGTTGATGAGGGGGAAGTCCTGCTGTTTGGCTAACTCTCACACAGAGGATATTGTGTGGAGAAGAATTAATAGGACATGACAGGATAAACAGTCTCCAAGGCCCACTCTTCAGTGGGCGTCTCTTCAGTTGGATAAAGACCTGCATTTGGTTCAAGCACTAACTGCCTTTGGGAAATGGCTAAAAGGTAGAGACAACAGACAACACACCGCGGCAGAAGTGAGGAACTGTAAAACAAAAAGGGTTAGTTTTAAAGAGCATACATGAATAATACAAATAGGAAAAGAACATATTGTAACTCTGGGGTTTTCCGTTATCTGTCACTCATTCTTCTCGAAAACACAATGCACGCCAAGAAAGGCTTTTTGCCACATGGATGCTTCTGCCGGATGATTTAAACATGACTTGAGAAATGTTGTGTCTCAAAAATAAATGAAGAAGTTAACTAAAAAAAATAAAAAAAAACAGCTCACCTTCTTCCCATGCGTGACTCCCATGTCCTCAGCATAATCCAGATTTGGTGCCTGCCACAGACGCCTGCTGGACCCGGAGTGGACAGAGTCTCGGCAATAATTTGAGGTTACTCTCTCTCTGCTCCAGCAGCCAAGAATGGCACAGAGAGGGGACAGCGCTCAGTGCTCGGACCAATGGTGATGATCCCGGAGAAGCAGCCACCGAGCGGAGGAGAAGCTCCGGCCCAGAGAGCTCAGAAATACACGGCAGTGGAGGGAAGTTTCAGCTGAAGTTTCATCTGATTCAAACTTTAATTGAAGATGCTTGGGTTTTATGCAAGTATTTCAGGGGAAACATAATGCAAGGTTTACTCTGGTACATGTATGCAAAATGGAATTAAGATTTCACATGTAAAGACACATGGAAAGCTTATAAAACACAGCATTGTTGAAACGTAAACCGGCGGTTTCCAGTGATTTTGGCTCGTGACCTCGAGTTAAAAATAAATAAATCAGTAAAGATTGTGTCTAGTTGGAGTTTCAACAATTTTCCCCTCCAAGCAGCTCAAATTGTCTCATTTAAATAACTATTCAGGGCCAAGAGAAGTCAAATTATCAAGGATTTCACACAAGCATCTGAGAAAAATATGAATCCAAAGTTTGCAATGGTGAATTTATTCTTTCCTCTCTCATTATTCATCTCACTATTCATCAGATTTAACCATTATATCTGCTGTCTACATGTCTCTAAAGCAGTTTACAGTTAAGTAATCAACTGATCACAGAGCTCTCAGTGAGGTTTACTGTTTAATATATAGTGACCAGACTTCCTGTTATACTGTATGTACATAGTAATGCCACATTAACTTTAACTGTAGTAAATAAAACATGTTCCTCTGAGTAAAACGCTGCTGTGAATCGCAGACAGACACCATAAATAACAATCCCAGAACCTTCAGGGAACCTGCAGGAAACAGGGATCTTAAGCTTTTAATTTTAGAAGGGGAGTTGACACCATTTGGAGCGGCGTCACTTTACAGAGAAATCTTGAAAGACCGTTTTAAAAAAAACAAAACAAAGAACCTTCCATCACATCGTGTCAGTCAGTCGGTCCGTCAGTCTGGTTTCTGGGAAAACAGCCGGCCACCTCCACCATCTCCGGCCATCCTTCATAAACGTCGGTTTTCTCGTCGTGAGCAGCTCGCTGACAGGTGAACAGAGAAGAAAACACGCTTCTTTCAAACTTTTAGCCCATTTTAAAATAGATGGTCTTCTCTGACACAAATAGAACAAACAAAAGTGCGCCGAGCAGGTTCGCTAACCTTCTCAAAGAGGCTTTTGCTTCTTGCTCCTGTTCTCCCAGCAAACACCCAGCTGTCTCTGTGTTTTACAGACCTGATCAAAGCGCTTCCCATCCCGACAAATATCTCCCTCATTTCATCTGTCATCCTGCCACGGAGTCGCACGGCGGGGTCAGATTTTGTGATGTGAAATCATTCTAACGTGTTGAATCATTGAAAATCTGGACTCACTTCTTTGTCACATCATCAAAGGAGGCCACCAAGACAATCATTCCGGGTTTAATCTCCTTCAAGGATGCCAGGATGTCTTCTGGGTCTTTAATTTAGAGAGAGAGAATAAAAAAAAAAATGCCATCACTGAAAGGCTTTAATAAAGTTTGAAATTGAAAACCTGAATAAAAGATTTTTTTTTTTAAAACCTCTTACTTGCAGTATTCATATTAAGACAGTCTGATTTCTCTACAACTCCATTTTCACCTGTGATAGAAAAAACACATAAAAAAAAGACTGAAATAATCATAATAGACATGAATACTGTGAATTAATCACAAAATAAAACTGAAAACTCCAGACAAGCTACAAAAAAAAAAAGGGACCTTGAAGGGAGACTTCAAAGTTCAAGAATAAACTCTGAAGTTTCTCAGCAGCTTATATTGCTTCTGTAATGATCTATACATCAGCGTATTGGATTTTACTCACCATTTACCACCACAATGTTCAGGCCTGGTCCCACGTTGTTAAACACATGGCTCATGATGCTGTCGAGACACACACGAGGAGTTTAGTTTCTGCTTTTGTCTTTTGGCTAATTCAGCCCCCGCATCAATACATACATTTTCCCATCGAAACAGATCTTTGGCCCGACAACGTTGGCCGCTCCGCTGCTGATATGTAAAGCAAAATGTTGAGGCGGGCAGACTCTGGAGAGGCGGCACTTTGGCACAGATGCAGTTGGAGCTGAAAATGTAGAATAGAGGGACAGAGAGGACCTCCTGATGGATACAGTTACTGTGGGAATTGTGTAATGTAAAAAAGATGAGTTCTAGTAATAGAAAAATATTGCACGCCAGGGGCTGCAGAGAGGCTTCCAGTGCTCCATATGCATTTCTCATTTATTTGGATGACATTTCCCTCAGGCCTTCTTCAAAATCAACAGTCGGTGGAAGGACAAAGGCGCTTGTATGTTATATAGGCCACATCCTAATAACACGTCTGATGGTGATTAGATAATCGTGTTGCATTATTCCGGCGAGGAAAAATAATCAAGGGGCCTTGGGCGAATGCAAATTTCAAAAACAAAAAGGGTGCAGCTAATCAAAACACGTCAAACCAAATGGAAGGAAGCGCCACGTAGCACGCTTTCCTATATAATCTTTAGGTTAAGCGTCCTGCCCGAAATGTTAGAATAACAGCTCGAAAGAAACCACGTGGAATCTGTATTCAGTCTGCGAGGTGGCAGGCTTTTCAAAGATTCAATAGTGCTCCCTCCAGGAACGTAAAACATCTGAGTTACCTCCTCTTGGTGCGAGTGATAACTTCTCAGTTTCAGTATATCTTAGAGAGGAAATAGGATGATTCAATTGGACAAAATATACTGCTGCCGGATAATTCGACAAACAGATTAACTCCGTGGTGTAAGGGTGCCACTTTCAAATTGAAATCCATCCTCTGTCTCAGCGCCACGGAGATTGTAACCGCCGCAATAATCTCCTCAAGGCTACATTACTGCAACTCAAGCCAGGGCCGTCCTCCATGTCTCGTCTGCAGCTGGTGCGAGGCTCCTAACTGGTACCAATAAAGCAGAAATCATTACGCTCGTGGTAGCGTCTCCGCGCCGGCTACCTGTTAAATAGAGAATTGATTTTAAGGTTCTTTTATTTGCTTATAAAACCAGGCGCGGCTTGGCACCTGGGTACGTCTCAGAACTACTCTGCTCTACCTCTAGGCCTTGTTGATTTATTACCTCGATGCATAAAACCACCACTTTGCCGGGTCATTGACAAATTAAACATCGTACACAGTGTAAATTAGAGGATAACAGTTTGTCCGGAGCCTCCGTTGCTTCTCTCCTGGAGAAGAACAAGAATGACAGCTTAATTATAAGACGACAGCGAACACATACTTTCATTCCTTCGACAGAACAGCTTCCTAGAGATGAGATCTCCACAGGCTGGTCTGTAGCCTTGGTTACAGCCCATAATTTGACCGAGTAGCCCCTTCAGACTGAGACCCGAGCACACCTGAGATCTCTATTTTTGACTTTTGCAGTGCAAAGACTTCCACCTGTAACCCCATCAACACATAGGAATTCTTTCTTTTAAACAAATAGAAGATTAACATGTCGATAAATGATAACGGATTTTACTTTCACAGCCTCCTAGATCCTCACAACGGCTGCTTTTAGCCGCCCTTGAAACAGCTTTCCTCTTTTTTAGTCAAATGATTTTCTAGCGTTAACATTTTTAAGAAAGAGAAACATTTTTCAACGGCTTTTGAATGCTCTCAGTGGTTTAATTTTTGAAGTATATTCATTTAATTTTGTAATTTGATCTGACTTTTTTCTTTTTACGACGCTTTTAGCTTGTTTTCTGCGCACACGTTTTTGTTGTTGTACGCGGCACTTTGGTCAACTCCGGTTGCTCTGACTGCATTTTGCCAATCCACGTTTTGGGTATTTATTTGTGCTTCCATGATCAGCAACAGGGATTTCCTTTGCCCCACGTGACCCAACCACAAGAGTAAGTGATAAGGTAAACGGCCGACTTAGTGTGACACGAGATAACACCGTTTGTTGGGATCTCTTTACCTGAGCGAGGATGTTTGAGGCGGTTACAGTGATAAGTGTAATTACAGTGACTCCGACAACCGCAGATGCCCTCGGGGACAGGTGCTGGAGGAGCTGGAGTTGGTGCTGATTGAGGAGGAGGTAAATATGAGTGCACTTGGCAGCCTCTTAGGTTTTCACCTCTCTTATACCGTGAGAGGTTCTTCTTTAAATACATTGAGTTGACAATCAGACTCGAGTGTACGCCGGTGTTTTGTTATTATTCCCACGGTCCGTTTTGTGCTCTTGGAAGTGGTCATTTGTTTTCAATGCAAGTTGAGTTTTAGGAGACCAGACAGTGACAGTAAAGGACAGATTTCTTGTGTTTTCTTTGTTCCTGTCAAATGTTTTGAGCAAAAACCCAATGCTGAGATTTCGTACCTCAACGGGTGGGAACACGCTTATCTCTTCACCATCACATGCTTTCTTATGGTATGGATTATACAACATACCAGCGTCTTTGTCCTGCTGAACAAAAGGCCCGAGGACTGAAAGTGACACCCAGTTTAAAGAGAAACGCATACAAGAGCTCGACTGTGCCACACTTTTTACCTGCTCCCAAGAAAAATTAGTTTTACCATTATTCAATTCAGAGGAACCACTTGAGAGAGAGTACATATTTTATATTAAGTGTTAAAAACGGAGAACGTCTGACTTACCTGTTTTGAATTTTAGTTTAATTTGATCTGCATAAAACCCTAAAAAAAAAGAACGAACGGGGACGGAATGGAAATAGCTTTTACTGCGACGCTAGACTTACTGCAGATTTCGAAATGTACTTTAAAAAAAAAACAACAGAAAAAAAACGATCTTACCGAGAAATGTTTTCGCTTTCCCTTGTGCATCAAATGAATTGATGGAGATTCCCCATGTGATTAGGAGGACAACAATTACAGCGGCGAGGTGCGGAGCAGCTGTCAACAAGAAAGAGAAAACAGATGAAGATCCGCAGAACTAAAAGATAGTGTTTTTAAATAAAAGTCAAATCTTACCTCGACACCTCATGTCTGCGACAAATCAGAGAGCTTTGTTCTGTCCGAGGAGGAAAAGTTGAGATCTTTCATGTGTGCTTCAGCAAAATAACAGAGACACAGCAGAGCTCGTGGTGTCATCTCATCTCCCTGATAACTCCTTACTCTACATAAAACACACAGCGATGTGACATAATCTATAACCACACCTACTGCGATGAACTGGATGAAGATCAAGTGACAGCTTTTTTTTCTTTTTAAAACAACGTCAAACAAGGGAAACGGTAACGGATACTATTTGATGTGAACAATGAGGTTTGCAGGCGGCAGATTGTGTTTAGCTGTGTAGGGGGGGAAAAAGGCACAAAGAAGAGATGGGAAGAAGGTTAAAAGCCTCATATTTCAAATTGGATGAGTAAATGGAAAGAAAGGTTTAAAGAGACATTGTACCAGGTGTCAGCGTTTTCTAATTTTATGTAAATTTCAGTGAAATCCGCTTAATACGTGGAGCTTTCCGCATGAAGCAGTTCACACGGACTAAAAGAAAACAGGAACAAGAAATTAGAGGCTGGAAGCACATTTACTGATACAACAGCAGGTATCAGATGTGACAATGAGACACGAACCCGGACGGAGGGAGAACGAGATTTATTGGAATATCACAAATAAAGCGAGGCGTCAGATGTTTCTGCCGAGACATCCGAGAGCGCGACGCTGCACAAGGAACGAAAAGACACAGTAATCCAGTAAAGCAGACATCAAGCCCTTGTGTCAGCAAGTATCTGGCCGGCTGATCCTTCTGCAGCAGCTGAGCCTTAACTTTACGTAGGAGGAGCTTCTCCGTTGTCACCAATTTGTTCACTCGTACGAAGTTGAATACTTTATTTTGGAGTATTAATTATATAAGCAACAAAAAAAACAACAACTGAAATACTGACACAGGGCCTTGAGACTACGACAAGTCATGCCTTAAAGGTCTTTTTTATTCAAAACGACATTGATTATTAAAATTACTAAAATTTCCCTACAGTGAAGCACGCCTCTTGTGGGAGCCCCGAGGGTTTGTTTGTGTTTTGTGTGAGCTCCCCAAACCAAACTCCCACCAGCAATGTTGACATTACAATAAAATACTTAATGTTAAGTGAAATAAGAGAATACAAACAGTTTCACGTCAGTAAATGTGCACAGCATCTCAACTCATCGCCTGGTGTAATACCACAGAGCACCAGCAGAGGGTCTTTGTGTACTACCGTTCACTGATCAGATGGAACATTAAGCATGCAGGGAAAAGGGGCCAGATATGGTTGTGAGAACCAAACATCCATGTTTAGTTTCATTTTGTGCGACTGCAGACAATGCACAGACAGCAGCGGGACAAACACGGGCGAGTGTTTGTCATTCGGCACTTCACAGCCCTCGTGTCTGTCGGTGAGAAGTCAGCAATACTTATATACTCAAATATAACATCTCCTCTCTAATAAAGCAGACACTCGCTTTAGATAAGAGGCAGAGCGGGCGGATCATCAAGTTCATGAGCTGGATTAAACAAGGACGATCTGAGCACACTTCAGACGGTGCACAGGAGGAATATTTAAACCCTAACTGACCCAACGCTTTTCCAAAATATAAAAAAGACAGAGCAGACATCATCGGTGTCGCCCATCAGCAGCTGCACACAAAACACTTTGAATGTTTGTGGAGTTTTGCAATAACTCTCCAGAGTCCTAACAAGAAGAGACAGCTGAAATTAGACGGGTTTCGTCGCCTAATTTGTTGATCACACAAACAATAAATAAAGCGAAGAGTGATTTCTGATTAATTATTAATCCGTTTGAGGTGCCGCTGGCACCGTGTGACACTGACGTCGCGATGCTCGCTCGCAACTCCCAAGCAGGTGGAGTCGCTGATTCCTTTTCCTTTGTGGCGAACGCAGCTGTCAAAAAACATCATGCAACATCAGTCAGCCTAGAAGTCCATTACAGAGGCAGTGGACTCGACAGCAAATTGACTTTGAGTGGAATGACAGCATGCAAAAGGAAATAATTTCAAAGGCAACTAGCCAACTGCGAGATAGCTGGGGTCTTACTGCGGCTATTTTTAGCTTCAGATCAATTAGGGTGTTTGAAATATCTGAAATGTCATATCTCCATGCAACGATTTGTAACTGCTTAGTTCAAAACGGAGAGTTAATATTACTCACACGTGCTGTGGCAGACTTACTCAGACTGAGTACATGTAAAGGTGCCTGAGAAACTTGCCAAATTTTTTTTTTTGGATTTATCCATATTTAAGCAAATCATCACCTTGATGCAACAATACCAGACAATTTGTTTTCACATTTTCCTTTCAGTTCTGGGAGCTGCGTTGTGCCAGAATGAATCCACATTTTTTTCTCTTCTCAAGTCAAGTGACAAAGCGTTTAAAAAAAAAAATATGCTAAGAATCTAAATAGTTGAGTCTTAAGTCTTCCGCAGTGTGAGGCTCCTTTTCACACAATCAGAACTATGGTGGTTTAATCAAGGACATGGGTTTGGTTTTGCAGAAGACGATTCCTTTTAAACATAACAGGAATTTTAAAAAAAGGAGTTAAAATGTACAGATGGGTGACAAATGAGAGGAACAGCCTGAACCCTTGAACCCTACGGTGAAGGGATGCAACAGCTCTCTTATGCTGTTAGGGGCATTTTGCTGGCCTGGTTGGGGTCCATTTCTCCCATTAAGCTTTGATTGTAATAACCTGCAGACACCACAGATGCATAGCTGCTGTTGTTAGACTGTTTTCTAGTCCGCTTGGAGGACTAGACGTGTCTAAGTATTCTGTGCATGGACACGACTGACCTCATAGTCGTCCAGAATTTGTGTCTGCAAGAACAAAAATTATGGACTGCAGATGGGCATTTAATGAGAGGGTCCTAGCATGATGTAGTGCACCACCCAGTCCATATGGGCGCGACAGTATAACGCTGACCCTAAAGGAAAGGGTCACTGCAAATCAATACAGGGCTGTTCTGAGTGATCACCTTTGTTCCATGATGAAATATTTCTATTCTCATTTCTACCCAGGATGACAATGAACTGCACCCACGGAGCACAAGGGGTCACCAAATGGTTTGATGAGCAGAAAAATGATTTGAATGGTGCGCGGCGAGCAGATCTCCACCCAGTCGAACACAATGGGAGATTTTGGGCCATCATCAAAACGCTAAACGAGGGGATATCTGTTGGAAGAATGACGCTTCAACCCTCCAGTACAGTTCCAGAGGATTTTAAAATCAATGGCATAATGAAGCCCTTACTACACTTAATGCTGGGTTTCCCTTGAATTTGTCACCGAGGGTAGCAATTTACGAAATTTGACATATTTTTTCAAATTAGTTGTAGTCTAATTTCAGGAGGCAGAGATGCTGTGTGGAAGTCACACTGACAACATCACAACAATCACATTCAGCTCTGTTACTACTGTGATTCTTATCTGGGATATCTGACTGGTGCTCCATTGTGGCACATTTTAGCAGACTTAAAAACAAAAACATCTGAGTTGTGCCAGAGGCTCTGGAAGTAGCCTGCACGTCCCCACAGACATGGAAACCAGTACAAAACGTGGATGTTTATCAGCGGCTTGATGCCACTTTAAAACCACTGCATGCCGTGTGTTGCATATGCTAAACTCATCAGTGTCATCACCACGATAATGCAAATGAAGATCAGTGCTGCACATCAAACACAAAGACATTACACATCTAGAAAGAGTCTAAGCCAGGTGATAAATGCAAATCCAGACACACAAACCACACTGGAGCTGCAACTGGTTGACTAATTGATCCTCAGCAAGTATTTTGTTGTATATTGTTGAATCAAAAATAGCAAAAAGCTTCTCAACTCGTCGCATTTTCCTGACTCGCCGAATAGTGACCTCTGTTTTTAAATTGTTTTCTGATGTTGTGTCAACCATGATAACTATTTGCAGCCCCAAAGCACACAATTCATCTACAATACACTCCTTCTCAGCGAGTCCGGCAGCATCCCAGTTGGCGATTTATTCCAAAAGATCCTGTCAGAAGAAAAGAGGACGCTGCAATTGACATGTGATGTGATGGGGAAAGTTACAGCTGTGTTGACTGGGCCTGTGCGACAGATGACAGCGATAGCTACTACCAGGCGAGCCATGGTGAACTGACCTCGTCTGACTCCTCTCCCACTGTGCAGGGCCCCCTGTCACCGTCACCGTCCTCCTCCTCCTCCTCCTCCTCCGCCGGCACTGGATGCTGATCCTCCATCCGCCTCAGCAGCGAGTATCTATAAGTCGCCTCGCTGAAATAAGGGTACGTGACAGACGAGGGTGTTGTGTTTTTTTTACTGCCCTAAGAGTTTAAAATAATCACGTTAAGGCTCATTAATAAAGTTTGCTTACTTGACTGGGAAGCAGTATTTTCGGATGATCAATACGGCAGCAGCTACTGCCGCCACAGAGACGAAGATCACTGATGCAATAATCCCAGGGTGAAGCCTTAACCCGGCCTAAAAAGACAAATGAATCCAATAAGATCTAACAGTGGGGTAGTTAAAGAGCCCATAAACCTAACAGCTCAGTTCATGATGTGTAGCACAGATAAAAAGGAAATACAGGCAGGAGATATGACAGCTGAACAGCAGTGTGTTATAAATCATACTGGTGTACAACCCAAAAGCTCAGCAGCAGGGCTGTGAATCTCTGGCCAAGCACAAAAAGTGATATATTCTTGACAACCACTGATCACTCACATTAGATTGTTGATCACCAGACTAAAGTATCTTCAAAGTCAGGGCTGTGCATAAGATCATTTGTAATGTTGAGGGCAGAGAGCGAGACCATCAGTCTCTGTGGCGATAATTAGGATTCACACGGAGCGTGGCCAAACAGTAAATCCAACGGCAACCATCCATCACGTGTGCTGGCGTCAAATATGAAAAACAGTAAAACAGATGCGGTTTAACAGTAATGACACGTGTTTTGTCTTGTGATATACTCACAGTATTTTGTAATTAAATGGTCAACTTGGATATTATTTAAAGAGACAAAATAAAACGCCACTGAGGAGCAGAGCAGTTTCCATAAACAGTTTACTGTTATGCTCCATTTTTTATTTTACTTCCAAAGTCAAATCTGTCAAAATTTGTCTGCAAATGGGAGAAAAGAAGCGGCAAGTACACGTCATTATAAAAAGCTGAACCTCCACAGCGTGTTTTGTCCTAGTCATCCTGTTACTGTTACGGCACAACAATATAGAGTTTGCAATGTTTGAAACCTTGTCAGAAAAGCCATCCGTCCATTATCTATACGTCTTAATCCTCACTAGGGTCGTGGGGGGCTGGAGTCTATCCCAGCTGACTCAGGGTGAAGGCAGGTTCACCTGGACAGGTAACCAGTCTATCACAATTAACTTTGCATACTTCTCCAAATAGTGTAATAATATTCGTAATACACACGATAAGCACCTTAACTTCAGCACTTCAACTCTAGCACTTATAATCATGCACTGTGTATTATTGATTGATCAACTGTATTGTATTTGTCTATTTTAAAGCCTTGTAAGTTATTGATTTATTTATTTATTTTGTAGGCTATGACCCACCAAGGGACAACAGATGCAAATTGGCATTTATGCTAACTCTGGTGCATTTACAATATCCATCCATCCATCCATCCATTATCTACACACCGCTTAATCCTCATTAGGGTTGCAGGGGGGCTGGAGTCTATCCCAGCTGACTCAGGGTGAAGGCAGGTTCACCTGGACAGGTAACCAGTCTATCACAGGGCTACACTTAG